GTTCTGCTAAATATCACCTAGCCACCTTGGGTTCAGTTGAAGAACGACCCTAGAAGCTTACAGCTGTTTCGAATTTATTAGAGTAGTAGAATTTATAGGTATTGTACATGATATATCACGGAGAGTATGCGATGGAATTGATGGAACAGGACTAGACGTGGGCTGGGGTTCCACTTCCACTCTTATGCTGTGGATACTCCAATGTGAAAGCGTTTAGCTTCCCCATTTATATGGCGAACGGCTATGGGCTGGAAATCTCTAATCAATCAATCAATCAATCAATCAATTTATTTATTTGTCTGAATAAGGTACATATAGTTCTTATTTTAAATACAATTATCCAGCTTATTCTACCATAGTTGGCATACAAATATAAAATGTCACTTTAGTACTTATATTTAAAAATAAAAATAAAAATTTAATTTCCACTATTATGTCATATTTTAAATTAAAATAATATAAGCAAAACTAAATAAAATTCAAAATAACATATGGAAATCTCTACCTAGAGACTTATTCCTAGTACGCCATAATTTGGGTCCTTTCAAGGCGAAAGTGAATAGGTAATATTTCGGTGTGCATACAGTTGAGATGGAGGCCAAATGCGAATTTATTATTAACCGACTCCAAAAAAGAGGAGATTCACAATTTGGCAGTATTTTTTTTAATGTATTAGAACTAAGTCCAAACTCATGGTACCACGTTTTCGTTTAACTAAGGTAAACGATTCTTTTATGGAGCATTTTTTGACGGACAAGTTGTACGCCTGTTGCTAAGCGGCACGCCTGTTCATAACAGTTGCAGTGCCACTCACAGCTTTAAATCGTTTTTACAATAAAATTCGGAAGCATATATTATGTTTACCATTTCCTAAGTTTAAAATTTACATAGGAAATGAAACTATTTTTCCGGATTTAAATCGCGTATATTTGTTTTTTCAAACAAACCGACGTTTCGGGCCCTTTACAGGTCCCATGGTCACGGTTGACTGAGTCAATCATTTCCTATGTGTAACAATCGCGAAAACCTAAGAACTTTAAAATTTACATTAAAAGTATTTTAATTGAAAAGTCATATTACAAAATTGTATACCACATGTTAGATAAAGATGTAAGGAAAGACAACGTGAGTCTAGATTCCACACAAATATGAGTCAAAATGTATTCTATTGCATTTAAGTATATTTGAAAAGAGCTATCCCTAGGTTTCTTGCTTGTTCTTCTCAGGGAGGTCAGTCAGCGTAGTGAGTAATGACGTTTTCAAGTGTAAATATTTTACCTATGATGATTTGACTTAGACTTTGACTTGCATGTTACGCAATTAATCCGGCCATTTGGCCACCGATTTTTTCTTAGAAAGAGGGTACTTCCGTATTGGTCCCATTTAAATTTGAAGAAAACATTCCACGTCTAAGGGTGGCAAACTATGGGATGAATCGGTTTCGCGCACTCTCCGGTAACCGATTCGAATAAGACTTGTCAAACAGACGTAATTACACAAACTTTTTAATATACTTATTTGATTTTAAAAAATTAAAAAAATTTGCTACCGCCAGTCGTTATTGTTCATAGTCTTCTTTGGCCCCATTAAATTACAATACAACGCTACACAATAGAAAGAGGAAAGTGTGAACAATTAAAAAAGAAACTTGATCTAAGTCATTCTGCCGCCATTACTTAATTAAAAAAAGATGGCAGTGGTTTTTGTTTTTGCTTGAGCTCAAAATAAATAAATATAATTTAAGGTGAAACAGTTCAATAAGGGATTAGTTTCTGATGGTTATATCTGGACAATAATTGTAATAGCTTGCTTTTATTAGATAGTACCATTGTTGGGCATAGGCTTTCTTAGGCAATAAGAGAACTTGGACTGTTCAACTTTGACAGACAAGGAAAAGGAAAGGAAGTAGGTTAAATCTTTAGGCTACCACCCTTGTAAGTAATTGTGCACATTCCAAAAAAGTACGTATTACACTATGAGTTTTTTACACATTAAAAAACAAGGGAATTTACAAATCGCACCTCTCGTTGACGGATGGCATAAGTAGAGTTACGTCAAAAATGTTTATTGCTCTATTAGATACAGAAAAAATATAACCCACATCCTCTCCAAAGATTGAACAATAAGAAAAATATAATTCACATCCTCTTCAATCTTTGGATTATATTTTTCTGAATCTAATGGAGCAATAAACAATTTTGACGTAACTCCACTTATGCCATTCTTTCATGCGGGGTGCGAAATCGAAAGTGATTAACCGAGTGTTTTTATTAGTGGCACAGTTTGAAACCATAGACAATACAAAGAAAATGTCTTAAGAACCAATACATAAATCTAAGTCTATCAGCATTGAAAAAAAAGTCAATTTTATTCATTTTGTATGAAAAACTTTTCATCAAATTTGACCAACTACTGCTGTCCCGATGTTTCTTGTTTCATACAATGAACTGATCCTTACATGAAACTGAGTAATTCAGTACTAAAAAAATTTGGTAAATTTTATTAAATGTATGGACAACTCACGCTTGTCCAAAAAATTTGGTTACCTATCAGTAATCCGAAATGACACTTTCCAGAAATAACGTTTGGTCGAAATTTCACAACCTCGAAAGTAATTTTGAGAGGAAAATGTTTTTTCTTTTAAACCTAACTTAACCTAACCTAACCGAACCTAATCGTGTCTTTGCGATAAACATTCAACATATCCTGAAAGAACAACTGTTTCGTTATAATTCGGTTTTCGGTGTAATGAAAATTCGAACAAACGTTATTTCGGACAAAAAAATTTTCGACTTTGTGAAAAGTTACCGGGTCAACGGTTTGCGATGTGGGCGTTCAATGTGGAGGTCACGGGTGCGTTTCCCGGTACAACTAATTTGGTTAATTAACTTTTCTAAATTGACTCTGATATGGGTGTTCTGGTACTCATAAAGATTTCCTTAATTTGAAACCACGTAGGGGTTGTTTGGTGCGTATTATTATTATTATCGGAATAGGTAAAGTACATTTAACCTAAACGTAACGTAGGTAACTTCAACGTCAATTACTACATATAGAGCAGATAATACCTCCCGCTGAAATCTCGACGTGTGTTCCTTGAAGCTTAGATAAATATACTTTGAATAATCCAATCTTTGCTAATGATACGCATCATGGCCATGATCCGATACATGAAATTGACACAATTTTATTTCAATTTTCTGTCTAGTGATGCTATGAGTGTAAGTGCTGAGAATCGTGTATAATTGTTGGCAGATGAAATCGTGGACTGCGCACGAGCAGGACACGACGATATCGTGCTGCCGGACGCTCAACGTCAAACACGCCGCCTACGCCAGTGCCCTCTACACTTTGGTAAGTTTCGTAATAGCCTAATTAAAGCCTGCTCTTGCACAAAAAATTACACGTCAAAACTCGAAACTGGGTCTTATAGATAAGACGGAACAAAATGTGTTTAATTATTTGAATTGATAAATATCAATATTCACCAAAAAATGGTTTTCGAGTACTGTTTTCATAAAACACAAAATTATTTCATATTAAGTCATATTACAAAATTGAAGACTACTTGTTAGATGAATATATATGGAAAGACGACATGGCTTCAGAATCTATACAAATTTGATTCAAAGTGTATTCCATAGCATTTACGTTTATTTGAAAAGAGCAATCTCTAGAGTTTCTTGCTCGTTCTTCTCAGGGAGGTCAGCGTAGTGAACGAGTAGTAGGTTAAATGTGACGTTTTCAAGTGTAAATTTATTTTACCTATGGAATAAATGATTTTTTGACTTTGACTATACATTATCGGCGCTGTACAACTGCCTCCGTGAATCAGGAGAATATTTGGTTTGCTGGGAGATGTTGATTCAAATTCAGCCGGTTCGAAGTGATTTTTTTCTAAGTGTTCCAACTTTGCTTAATAAAATAAGCTAGTGGAGTAATTTCACAAAAAATAATTGACTATCATCGTGGTGAAACATTCTGACGTTCAATAAAACTTAGAGTCACTTAGTAACTTAGATCAATGAAACAAGTAATAATTAAATAAATCGAATATGATTAATTTTTAACCGACTTCAAAAAAAGGAGGAGGTTCTCAATTCGAATTCGTTTTTTTTGTACGTATGTTACGCGATAACTCTGGTATTGGTGAACCAATTTTCATGATTCTTTTTTTGTTGGAAAGTGGGTACCTCCATAGTGATCCCATTTAATTTGGAAGAAAATCATCCACCTCTAAGGGTGGCTGTTCACGCATGAAGATTCATTTTTATAAATAGCGCCTAAATATTAGTATAATGAACAATTATTTTAATGGTTGATTTTGCTATTCTTAAATTCAAGGCGTTTTTCTCTCTCAATATACTTTGAGTAGCGAGACTGATTTTTATTATCTCCTGTGCCGGACTAGTGTGTATAGTGGCGGACTAGGGGATGAATCCGGGTTTGCGCACTTTCCGGTAACCGATTTCAATAAAACTTGGTAATTATATGCGTTTGCATCGCGTTTGTAAGCTCTTAATTGTTTCATGTAGCTAATTTAATTTTTATAACTTTCGTGTGATAAAAGCATTTTCTACGTATGATCACATATGGCTTCATTACTACACTAAGTGTACAAAATTGATCATATTCGATTTATTTACCTATATTACTTACTTCATTCACCTTGTTTGAAATTAAAATTTTACATAATCTTCGCGTGATGTTGACTCAGCTTTTGCTAGCATAAATCCATTAGAAGTTAACCAATATTTGTGAAAAAACAAGCGTTGTGGAAGTTGCCTCAAGGCCAACTCAGTTTGATCACGTCGGTGGGCAAACAAAACAATACCTTAATGCATAACTCTAATAGTACTTTTTAAAATTTCTTTGTTGTTACATTTCAAAAGCAAACAAAACATTCCAGTATAACATAAACTGAACCAAGTTGTATTTATTGCTTTTATTGGCAAAGATCTCAGTCACCCTGAGACATAAGTAGACAAGTTCTATGTGCGTGTAATGTCACCAGCATCCTTATCCTTCAAAACCAGAACGCAGTAATGTTCACATTACTTATTTGCGGCAGATGTAGATAAGATAGCGGTACTTCTCCGGACGACCTCTTTCAAAAGCTCTACTGTTACTAAAGTTTCTCAATATACAGTTAAACTTATCGAAGCGAGTAGCAGCAGTCAAACACATTGAATCTGTAAAAAACAAATATAACAAATTCAAGAAAGAAAAGTTTGAGGATCTCTGTTATACATTATTAATAGTTTATTGTCATGTTAATGCTATAAAGAGAAACAATACATTTTATTTAAAATATTGTACCACAAGCATTTGTATGAAAATGAAAATAGTAAAGCGAAATTACAGATCGCATTCTCGTAGCGCTATTAATCATCCCGTTCTATCTAATGGAGGAGAAGCCGAAAGAAAGGTAATTAAATTTTGTCAATTAATGAATTAATTTAGCGTCACTGTTTGTACCGATGAAAATTCAATTAATAAAGTCATTTAAAATAGCTATTATATTTCCTAATTATTTAGCAGTGGCAGTCTAAGGGGTCGAACCACCGTGACTGTGACCAATGTTCCTATTACTTTAATTTGTAAATCACGTAGTGAATGTTTAGTATGTACTCGCTAATAGAGACGGGTAATGGGTTAAAACCCAATTCGCCCGTGTTTTAACCAGGGCTTTACCCGAAGCGCCGGGTTTTAACCCTTTTCTGCCTCAAGTCGTGGGCAGATCCGGCGAATACGGAATTTCGTAAATCAAAAAGTTTTTATTGAAGTACAATCGGCATAACAAACAAAACAGAGGTTGAGACCATCCTATTAAGTAATTGAATACTTGTGTCAGGAGGTTCCGCTCTTCCTTAACTAAAAAATATTTTAGTAAAGACAGTAAACAA